AGATGTTTCCCATGTCCTTTCTAGGTTGGACATGGAACATGGAAATATAATGTCTGAGATCCCTACTGTCCACTCCAAATACAGCCTACCCTGATCCCTCAGCTCTTCCCCAGCACACCTCTCTAAAATGCACTTACCTTCAATTTGCATGTGATCCAAATATCATGCTATTTGTTCTTGGCATCAATGTTTTCATTCTTCTGTTTTCTATATGGGTTATTCCTATTTACTTTAAGTCAGTATATGTCTTAGAATGCAAATCTTGAGACAGAGGGATGGAGTCTTTCTTTATGCATTTGCCATGTATTTCTAAAAGGTTGTGTATAAAATGAAAATTCCGGGAACCAAAGCTTATTTTTCCACTTATGTATGTTCATTCATCTCAGAGATGTTTTATCCTCACTTCTGATTACTCCCCAAAGGGCAATGTCTGCTAGCACTTTTGTTTGAAGTTTTTCTGTTCCTACTCCTCCCTCTCCGACCTCTTTGTCAAGTAGTCAATAATCTGCAAAAAAATATTTAAATGCACTAGAGAAGCCTACTGTGTAAAAGCAGTCCTCTGAATCCCTTTGTAAATGGGATGATTCTTTCGGTAGTGTAAATAAACACCCTCTTAATTCATGTTTTGCTAGTCTCTGTTTTCATTGATGGACTTTCTTAAAACAAATCCCCTGAAATGTTTCAGATTTTCCACTTCTCAACACGCAGCTCAATATGATATGCAATTAGGCCCTTAACAAATATTTTCTGAGAGAATCTTAGTTCAGTCCAATAAGGACACGTGTCCTTTCTCACCTCCTGTCAGAGCCTCAGGATACAAACCCACAGAGCTGCAGATTTGTCGTTGAGTTTATAAATGCCAAGACAACAGCTCTCCAGCAAGAGAATTGACTTGGTGGACACACTGAAGATAAATAATGTATGAAACCACTTCTATTTTAACTGCACTTTACAGTGACACTAATATTGATGAAAAATGTTAGCATCTGTTAGATGGTGTTATATATTCAGCAAGAGATGGGGCCTGATAGGCTCTGGGGTGTGGTAAAGGAAAAGAAAGCCATTTGCTTCTAGGTCAGTGATTTGAATCCAGGCCAAGGTTTGTAAGAAACAGCTGTTCCAGTTGACAGTTGTTCAGTGCCCTCTGTGAAATGGGCTGGTGGTTTCACATCATGCTCCAGTGGAAATATTGACAGCGCAGAACCATCAACTATCATCTTCCCACTCAATCCCAGGCTAGGATGTAAGCTCCTTGAGTGCAGGGACAGTGGTGTCTTTTTGTTGTTGTTGTTGTTGTTGTTGTGGTTGTTGTTGTTTTTTAATGTTAGTATTCCCTAGCACCTAGCATAGTGCCCTGCACATACGAGGCTTAATAAATGTTTGCTTGTTTAATGGGCAGAGAGGAGGTAGGTAGTTAAAAAGGAAATAATACAGCAATTTGGTTTCATCTTAGTACATCACTGAACTGAGTGCTAATGATGGCCCCTGGGGGGAGGGGGAGTAAAGGAGTTAGAGAGAATGGTTTCAGTAGTTTTAGAGAACTCCCAGCAAGCGAAATGCCTCTACAAATGTAGATCAGGACCCACTGCAACCTATAGTCTTAGAGAGCTGCCTAGGACAAAGGTATCAAACATACTGCCCAGACTGCATGAGGTAATGTATGATTTAGTGGCCCCCATTTCTATTTGAGTTTGACATTAGGACACTGAAATATTATGTGACCCACCCAAGGTCATACAGCCAATATGTTTCAGAGGTAACATTTGAAACCAGGTCTTCCTGAATCAAAGGCAGGCTATCTATTCACTTTGTCATCCTGCCTCTCAAAGTTGGCCATACTAGCTAAGAAAGGTCCCAGGGCATTTGTGGTTTTCTGGCTATTAAAGAAATAATTGATGGAAAAACTTTTTAATTTTCCTCATAGTCCGTGAGGCATCATGACACCTAATCTAGGTCTGACAGGGGTAAAACTACAAATTATCTATAATGTAGTTTGGTGGAACTTTCATCAATGCAATTGTCAGTCACAGATGCAGAAGACTGATCATAAAGCATGTTTCCAACCTCTTGTCAAGGAAGTAACACACTTAAAGGTTCAGAATGAGACATAGCCAACATATAGTTTTGTTTGATTCTACTTATTTGTTACCAGAAAAGGATTTTATTGGGGGAAAGGGAGAGTCATGGAGAGGAGTTGCGAGTAATAATAGTGACATAAAAAAAGGAAAGAATATCAATGAAACACACTTAAAATGCACAGAAGAGAACAGAAGGAAGTTCACAAGGGAACATCGACAAGCAGGGCAGTGTTAAAACTATACTATATTTTTTAAAATAATACACTAAATTATCTATATAAAAATTTTTAAAGTTGTATGTAATAGAGATTCACTGTGTCATATACAATCTTCTTTTCTGTTCTGATAAGGAAATGTTCATATTTATTTATGTTTTCCAAATTCATACTAACAAAAAAAGAAAAAAAATTAAATGGCCTGGCCAACCTCTTACTTTGTGTCATCAGAATGTTAGCTGATAAATCATGATCTTTTCCAATTGATAGGGATTAGGACTAGACTTGTGATTTCATCGCCGCAGGGAACTTCCAGGTAAGGAAATATCCTTTACCGAAGCACACTAACAGCTGCCCTGAAACTTACAGAGCTTCAGTGATCCTTGCCCAGGGCCACACAGCCAATATGGATCAGAAGCAAAACTACGTTCATCCTGGCTCTGAGGGCTGCTGTCTGTCCACTGCACTATGCTGCCTCTCAGAATATCTTCCTCTTTCATATGGATGATAAATAAATGTTTTATTCTTTTACAAATTTAGGTATCTTATGTCAAAGTCATAAAATCTGAAATAGAAAGGATCTTTGAGATCATCCAGTCCAATCCTTATACATGGAGCAAGTATTCCCTATCTACAACATTCCAGACAAATAGTCATTCAACCTGTTCTCTCTAGAACAATGGTCCAAGAAGATAAAGAATCCATTTCTGGGGCACTACCATTTATGCAGTTGTATCCATGCACTAGAAAGGGAAGAGATGGGGCAGAAAGAACAAAGTGAAAGAAAAAGAAAAAAAAGATCTGGAGTTTAAAAGATGTATAAAGTTAAAAACTTAGGAAAATATTATTAGCTGGTGATACATTATTTAAATAACTTGAAGGTTTGGGAACTTAATAATTCTCTTTCAGAATCAATTTATGTAAAGATAACATGCCACCTGCAGTAAAAATAGGTCAGCACCTTCCTCATCAAAGACTTAAAATTAATTGAACTGGCCATGTTTCTGTTCAGCACAGTGCTGGTTCCCCTAGTTGTGTGCAACAGAGTAGGTATACTTTTGGTGAAAACAAATTCTCCATTAAACGTGAGTGGAAAATTTACTCTTTAAAGGAATCCCTTTGTAAATTCTTTTGTAAAGTGAATAATCTCCCACCCCTCCTCACCCATACTCCAATTTACTTTTTTTGGAAATCCAGATTTAAGGTATTAGGCTAGCTTTAAACAGCTGTTCAGAATAAGCCTGGGTCTGAGACTATCTACGTATAAGGTGGTAAAGAAAGAGTGGAGAAAATGTGTCTTCTTCACCTTTTTGGCTGGAAATTTGTCTCACTCTGTCTTTTTGTGGGTTCTGCCGCTCTAGAATTTGTTCAGAGCCATTTTCTACAGGTATCTGGAGGGGTTTGGGGAGATCTCAAGCAGGTCCCTGCTTTTACTCTGCCATCTTGGCTCTGCCCCCCCCTTCTTCCCCTCTTTACAGAAGTGAGGGACTTTGGACAAGGAAGATTGTGTACAGTCAGTCAAGATAAATGTGTTGATCAGTTCTGCTGAACCACTCTCTTTCTTGTAAAATCTGTAGATCTTGGTCAGAATCCACAGCTCTTCTCCCTGGCCCCAGATCGAAGTATTTGATACTTAGGAGTCTCTGCTCATCTCCCCACTGTAGAGGCAGATCACAGCTGACTGCTTCAATTCAAAGCTAAGGTTCTGGAATGACTCATGGGGCGAACATGTAGAAACAGCTTCAATGAGCAAAGGGAGGAAGTGGCTAAGGTATAAGAGTGACTCGAGGAGATCTTATTCCAAGCACCTTAATGTAGATCAGAATAACAACAAAACTATAGGCCTCTTCTCCCTGCCATCATCACTGACTTGCCATTAGCCCTTACCCACATTGCTTAATAACATTAGAGGCAGTATGATAAAGTGTATAAAGTGGTGGACTAAAAGTCAAGAAAACCTGATTTCGAATTTCACCTCTGATATTTACTAGTACTCAAAAAAACCTGATTTCAAATTCAGTCTTAGAAACTTACGAGCTGTGTGACCCTGGGAAAGTCATTTAACCTCTGTTTGCCTTAGTCTCCTCATCTGTAAAATGGGGATAATAATAACACCTCCCTCCGAGGGTTGTTGAAAGGATCAAATGAGATAATAATTGTAAAGCACCTAGCACAGTGCCTGGCACATAGTAAATGCTATATGATTGTTAGATATTATTATTAGTTCTGTGACCGTGGTCAAGTTTAATCTCTCTCTGGGCCTCAGATCTTATCTGCAAAATGAAGGGTTAGACTCTCCAATATTGCCAGCTCTTAATCTATGATCTTATGACTTTAGATAAAACATTATATTGCTTTTGTATAATATTTTATTCATTTCAAAGAACTTTCATCTGCATTATCCTATTTGTTCTTCATAATACTCTGGTGTAACACTTCTATATTTCAGAAGATCTATGATATCATCATTGAGGACACTCCCTTTACCAATACAGATTGTTATTTCTTCACCACTCCCCTATACTTTTGTAAATAGAATGAGTTGTGCTGGGCAAAAAAAGTCATTACTTGGTTGTCAACATTCTGGTGAGAAAACTACATGCTTAGTTAGCCTGGTCCTCAGTCAACCCATACAGTCTGTCATTGGGTTCAAACTCAAGTCTTTCCAAGTCATAGATTTCCCAAAACTTGTCCTCCACTGGTATTGCTTTTGAGAACCTAGAATTATCTCCATACTCCAATAAGGCATTAGAGTAACACTTAAGTGAAGGTCTGTTTTCATTTCACAGGTGAGAAAATTAAAATACAAACAATTTAAATGCCATGCCTGAGATCATACTGCCAGTTCATGATGTAGCCAAATACAGGACCAGGACTCTTGACTCTTAGTTCATGATTCTTTCCATTAGAAAATGTTCTCCAATGCTTGTTCCTGTAGAATCTGTCTCCTTGCTTCTGATCTGCCAAGATCCCGAAGAATCATGTTCCAGGCTTCATATTTCACCCTTTGTCGGTGACGGCAGAGATATCCCAGCTGAAGAACTGAGTTTCATAGGTCTGATACAAAGACAACCCATGGAATTCAGTTCTCAAAGCTGAAGATACAGGTTCTCTAGAGTGCCTCCCATCTTCTCGCCTCAAAAGAAGTCTGCTGCTTTTCCCATGTGTTTGCTGTAAGATACAATAAGGAAATCTCAAGTGAACCCAAGAACAGCTACCTTCAGATGCTGAGCTTTCTTCCATGAAAGCCCAGGAGTTAGAAGTGTTCATGGGGGCTCAAGGGATTTGGAGGTGACTTTAAGAGTGAGAGTCTAGAATTGTGGCATTTTAGATTTGTAAGGACCACTAGAGATCACTTTGTCCAACCCTCTCATTTTACAGATTAAGAATCTGGCTCCCTACAACCTGTACAAGGTTTACATCACATCATGTACTTTCCTTCCCCAGCTTCTATGTTCAGCCACACTGGCCTATCTGTTCTACCCCATCCGTGACAATTCATCTCCCATATCTATGCTTTTGCACAGTGACCTCCATGCTTGTAATGCCCTCCTTCCTCACCTCCCATCTAGAGAATCCCTGGTGCTTTCAAAGCTCAGCTCAAATATACCTTCCTATAGGTAACCTATCATGATTTCTCCTATTTGCTAGTGCCATCCCCTTGTTACCTTATATACATTGTACATATATTTTGTATTTAATTTTCTGTGTATGTGTTGTTTCCCCACAATAGAATGGAAGCTTCTTGAGGACAGACACTGCCATTCTTTCCACTACACCGCTTTAATTTTCTGGTCCTTCCAGAACTCTTCAGAAGCAAGACAACACTAAGGGAGAGGGCCTTTAAATCACATCCCATAAACCAACATCCACCACTGTTATTAACCAGGGCTTACTTACCATTCAATCTAGATAGGGGTAACATGGTCTGCCTTTCTATACCCACAGATCAAGATGAGATTTCATATGACATCTTAATAAAAGCTCGTTGAGTGATTTCAGCACACTCTCTCCCAAGGATCTTGTTGATGCTCACCACTTCCTCCTGCCATAAGGAAGTCCATTGGGGGAAAAAAAGCAAGTCATTTAAAAAAAAAGTTTCAACCACTCCTTTTCTCATACTTTCTCCCCTCCATTCACTCAATCCATCCTCTGGAATAGTCAACAGAGAGTGGAGGAGGAGTGAATCTGGAATGCCTGGCATCCAACCAGGGTTGTGTCCAGATTTTTTTTAAGTCAGTATTATTTAAGAATCCATTTGTCCCTTCCCACAATTAAAGCCAACATTGAACCAATAAGTTTAAATTTACCACATTATTCTCATGGTTAGCTTAAACACACACCAAAGATACCGAAAGAAGTATCTATACTTAGGTGTGACTAGTCTCCATTGACATGGTGGCCAATAGAATAGAAATCCAAAAGTAGAGGAGTAGAACTTAAGAATGAGGTCAATAGAGAAACATCAACTTAGGGATCATCTCCTTAGGAGTGATAAAGGTGCAGTGGTGGTCTGAGGACAGAATCTTAAGTGTAGGGACCATTTAGGAACTATTATGCAGGGAAGGGACCAAGGAATGGGCCAAGAAAACAAAGACGGAATGGTGAGTGAAGCAGAGGAGATGAGTGTGATATCTCAGAGTCCAAGGGACAGATAAGTATTCAGAAGGAGGGGATGATCAATAATTATACTATCTAATATTTACATAGTAACTTAAGGTTTACAAAAATTGTGCATGTATTATCTCATATAGGTAGATGAGGAAATAGGATCGAAATGGTTAAAGGTCACATACCTAGAAATACATGAAACAGGATTCAAACCTAGATTTATCCTAACTCCACATCCAGCTCACTCTCCATTATACCGCACTTCCTCTGTAGATACCTCTGGTCAATAGTCTCAAATGCTCAAAAAATTCAGAAGGATGAAACCTAGGGTTGGGGAGTAATTGGATTTGGCAATTAGGTCATTAGTAACCTGGGAGAATAGTTTTAGTAGAGTGCTTAAGGATGGAGAAGGAAATGGCAAACCACTCCAGTATCTTTGCCAAGAAAAACCCGTGAACGGTATGGTCTACGGGGTCATGAAGAGTCAGACATGACTGAACAACAACAAGAAGGACAGAGGATTGAGGGATCGAGGAGAAAATGGGTGATATGGAAGTTGAGGCAATGTGTATAGACCACTGTTTCAGGAAATTTAGGCAGTATGATATAGTGGATAGAACTGGCCTTGGAATCAGTAAGACCCAGGCTCAAGTCTTACTTCTTACATGTGCTGTCTGTGTGCTCCTAAGCAAGTTACTTAGCCTTTCAGTGTCCTAGGCAACTCTCTAATAATACCATTAATTGCAGAGTAGTTGCAATCTGCACTGGAAGAGGGATCATAGGTCTGGTTTTTAAAAATAGAAGTAAAGAAGAAAGATGAGACAGTAGATAATAGAATTGTTGTTCAGTTGTCATTCTTCATGACCCCATTTGGGGTTTTCTTGACAAAAATAATGGAGGGCTTTGCCATTTTCTTCTCCAGCTCATTTTACAAATAAGAAAACTGACGCAGAGTTAAGTCACTTGTCCAGGTTCACGCAGCTAGTATGTGTCTGAGACTGTATTTGAACTCAGGTCTTCCTAACTCCAGGCCCAACATTCTAACCACTGGTGCCAAATAGCTGCCCCATAGAAGGGTTGAGGGAAGGCTTTTTGTTAGGACTGGAGATGTGTAAGCATGTTTGTAGGCAGATGATAAGTTCTCGATGAAGAAGGAGAAAGCATTGAAGATGCGTGAGAGAAAATGAATGGTAGCTGGAAAAGAGACAAGCTGGGAGGGGATTCCCCAAATTTCCTCCTGCCCTATTCCTTATCCCTTCTTTTCCCAAGCCATCTCCCCACTTTTTGACCTCTTGCTAAAATATTCTAGATCAGAAGATCATTCAATGATAATTAGATATAGACCTTCAAAGTTTACAAAGTGATATATGTATATATAATATACATCTCATTTTGATCTTCACAATTCTGTGAAGTTGTTAATTTTACCACTTTCATCTTACAGATGAGGAAACTGAGGCTGAGAGAGGTTGAGTGACTTGCCCAAGGTCATACAACTAGTAGACAGGCTTATCTCTCAAGTCTTCCTGACTCCAGCAGCCTATCTACTATACCACCTAGCTGTCCTCACCTCCCATAACTTTCAGTAAGATACTTTCTTCAAACCCCTTTAGTAGGCCCCAGCTTCCAAGAATAGGGAAAATCCACTCACCAAACACTCGATTGGAAAAGCAATATTTCAAAGCAGAAGCCATGTTGCCTTTTCAATTGAGTATTTGGTAAGTGGATTTTCCATACTCATGGAAGCCAGAAGAGACTGTGGAGGAGGTTCCAAGCAGGTGGTCCTTTAAAGATATGGATGATCTTCAGACCCAGAAGGCTCTGGCAGAGGATCAAAAGGTGGGAAGATGGCTTGAAAACAGAAAGGATAATTTTTTAGATGGTCAATTATTTCAGACGTCAGTTTCGTCATCTGTAAAATGAGGATAATAATAACACCTGCCTCCCAGTGTTGTTGTGAGGATCAAATGAGATCCTCATTTCTAAAGCATTTAGCACAGCGCCTGGCACATAGTAAGTGCCATATAAATATTAGCTACTGGAGGCGGCTAGGTGGCCCAGTGGATAGAGCACTGGCCTTGGAGTCAGGAGGACCTGAGTTCAAATCTGGCCTGAGATACTTGACACTTACTAGCTGTGTGACCCTGGGCAAGTCACTTAACCCCATTGCCTAGCTAAAAAATAAATAAATATTAACTATTATTATTAATATGTCCTCCAGGTCTACAAAAATTAGGAAGCCCTACATAAATGTTAGCAGTGATGATGATGGGGGTGGTGGTGATGAGGAGGACAATGATGATGACAATGTCAGAGCTCACATCTCGATTAGCAAAATATGCACTGCACTGTCCAGCAACTGCCCTTCATCTTCTGCTTGCCCCTGCAATGGTGTCTTAACTGAGGTCATGGTTTTCTTGGGTTATTGAACCACCCAAGCAAAACTGAAGTTAAACTACAATGCTCCAACAATTTCCCTGCCTCAGAAAGGAAGCTGGAACGTCAATGCCCAGAAAGTAATAACCTTGTATTTACCAATAATAACTGTATGTTATGAATCCTTTTGCTGGCTCTAGGAGATTTGTGGTCAGAAAAAGCAGGAACAAGTGGATAAAATGAAAGGCCTTAATTTCTTTTTAAGCACCAAACATTTACATTTGTCATCTCTACAGCTACATCCATTACTGAAGTTTCCCCAGCACATAGTCCAAGAAAACTGTAGTTCTACTAAATCAATAAAAAGCTAATTTTTCCAACACAAAGACTGACTACCGTTCTCTACTGTGCAAATGTATGATTCGTCCTTTGAAAAATGAACTTCCAAACTATTCCCTAATGATATAAAATGAAATTTCTTGATTTGGTCACTAGTAGGTTGTAATAAAAGGCTGAAATAAAGACAATTAACTTTTGTTTTCAGAAAACTTTCCCTTTCCATTGATGTATTTGGGCCGAAGTATAAGGACACACAAAAAGTGTTATTACCAAAGACTTTGTCTGGCAAGAGAGACATGTACTTTGCTACTGGGTGAGTAAATAGCCCTTCTAATGAGGGCAAACTGGCCGTTAATGACATAAAACTTTTAAGGACAAGTTCTTGATATGGGACACCTTTATAAATCAAAAATCCTTTTAAAATTAAAGGAATCCAAACTATATAATGTAAGCAACCCTTAATCATTCTTCATATCCCATCCCACCTGCCCCCTCAAAAAAAAAGCCAAATTATTTATACAAATTTAGGATATTTGTCTTTGTACATCTTATCTTCACTCTCCTACCTAGTATAGAGAACAGACTTTTATTTTTGTCTTTATGTCTCTAGTTGCTAGCACAGTGACTGGAACATAGTAGGTGTTTAATCATTGTTTATTGAAATGAATTTTTAATCACATTTTATACTTGTTTAAAGTGTTTCCACATGTGAGAGGGAAGATCAATAACTTAGGGGACTTCTAGCTTTGTATAAACATTATTTACCTGCAACATAAACATTACCATATATCCTCATCACAATATCTGGATATGCAGCATCCATTGTTTTTTAAATATAAAATTGATGCTCTTGTGTATCATATTTCTGAAATCATACATTTTGAAGATAGCCTTAAATTTGTCCTGTAATTAACTCACCCTTGTGTATTACATATTTTACCTCTTGTTTATCTCCAGGCTACACTGTTGACTCCCATGACCGAGCTATTCATCCTGAATCCTCACTCCAACTATGGAATTCATACATTGAAAGCACCAGAGCTCTGCCTCTGAGGCCTCTCTGATTGGATGAGGGAGCCTAGGCCAACCATATCTCATTCCTGTCCAGGCTATCATCATGTACCAGGCCCTAGCAACAAGTACCTTTGTTATACATCACACACACACACACACACACAACCTCAGCTTTGTTTTATATTGTTATCTTCCACCATTAGAATGTAAGCTCCTTGTGGGCAGGAACTATCTTTCTACTTGTATTTGTAGTTCCAGTGATTAACACAGTAAGTGATTAATAATTGCTTTTTAACTGATTATTCCTTTAATACTTCAAGTATCTATCATTTCATCAAGGAAGTATTCCCTTCCCGGACAGAGATCACAACCCTTCCTAAACCTAGCAGATCATCATCAAAAACTGCTGTGATCAAAAGACCATCACCCTGCATCCAAAATGGTTATGAAATTGAGGCACACAAAAATTAAGTGACTTGCCCAAGATCACTCAACTAATCAGTGCTGGAGTCAAAACTAGAATCCAGGTCTACTGTTTCTAATTTGATTTCCATTCCACCCCACTGCCAATCCCTGGATCTTAAAAACCTGAGCTGTCACCTTCTATTAGGCAGTCTAGTCTATCTGACTGCTTAGTTTCTAGTCACTGATATATTTAGTTGTTCTCTATTGGATTAAAGGCATACCTACCCAGCATCTCTACTGGTACTCTTACCAAAATGATTAGTTAGATGTGTTATCAAATCTTTGCCAAAACCAGATGTAAGGAGGGGCTTAATCATCAGTTAGGAAAAGATTTTCATTAATTTCCTGAGGCTTATTTTCTCAAAAAGTTCCTCCCCTACATATAAATGTGCAAAAGACCATTTCTCTCTCTTCACTTCCATCTTATCCTGCCTACACCCATCCACTGAAAGCCAAGAATAGAGAAGAATGAACACATGAACTAGAAGCACATACAGTTATCCCTTCCACATCTCAGAAGTTAGGGGCACAGTACCCCTGTGATCTGGAAAATCCATATAAAATGTTCTGGCCTTCCCTTCATACCAGAGAACAAGTCTGAATTTTTTCATTTTCTTTTATGGGGTGTTTACAGTACCTTATTGTAAAATTTGGATTAATTATTTGGTCATAGGCATATTTTATCCATTTCTGAGTTTCTGAACTTTTTCTGTGTCATCTGCTGGCCTTTGTGTGCTGTCTGCAGCTTCTACAAAACTCCCAAAAAATTCCCATTTACAGTAATTTCTTATGCCAACCCAAGATATATAGAAACCTTGATGGGGAAAGTTGAGATGTGGAAGAGATAATTGTAGTGAGAAAGAAAGGGTAAGTACCCTGAGACCCCCAAGAGTCTAATGTTTTATTAGGCTGATTAACTGATTAAGCAGAAATGGTCCATCTTTTATCTCCTACTTTCCCATGCTTCCTCTAGTGCAAAGTTAATTGCCAGAGAATCTATGGGTAAAAACTGCCCCCCCCCAAAAAAAAAAGATATCTGGACACAATTAGCCTAACCAAAAGGCAGAACAAGTCCTCTACAACAATCTACATGACCTGGTCAGGTATGAAATAACCAGGCATGATGTAGC